TTTATTGTAAGTATTATAAGTAAGTGAGGTGAGAGAAGAGTATGATCGACGTTCAAAAATAGAGAAAAAAATTATTGATCGAACGGTAACATTTTTATAACATTTGTTATCTTTATGATATACTTCCTGTGTTACATTTGTCCCTGGTCTCCCCTACTCTGCGCACATCGAAGATGATGATGACCGATCGAAGAGCGCCATGGTTACTTTATGACTAACAATTGAATGCTTACGTATTGTTTCGATGCTGCAAGTGCTTGCAGTTTTAAATGGAAACTGGCCAAATGTAGACCGATGAATAATATTGAAAGCTATACACAGAAAGAAATTCTCATAGAAAAGTTTATGTTAACGCTAATGTGTAAAGAGTAATCATTTTTTAACAGTGTCGATCTAATATCGTGTTATATGATATGTTGGGAACTTCTATTCTACTAATAATTATAAATATGTCATCGAAATTTCGAAGATGCATTCAGTGCAAAATGTGGAAAAACTGGCAGCTGTTCGATGCTACGGACTTTCAATCGCTTATGTATCCTTGCTTCACCTTTTGCCGCATACTCGGAATATTTCCGTATCGCATCAATGCTTCAACTTTTAAAATTACGAAACAACGCTATATTCTGACAACTGTCATTATTTGCGTTTTCTGTATTCATGAATTAATACTGCTGTGTAAGATTAACATTACTGGAACGATCGTGTATAATACTATACCTATGACTCTTGAACGCAACTGTTTTTTTATACTCGGCGGGTTTATCGCGGTTACTACGTATATTATGAACGGTCCTCGGATGCACTTGCTTCAAAGTATAATGGAAATCTCTTTGAGACTGTCTCCTGATTCGTATCGAAAGCTGTCTAGAATGATTCACGCTAAAGATATTTTCGGTTTCTTTTTTCTAATCGGACGAATGATATATTTTTGGTCAGTTACAAATTTTAGTAACATGGACAGGATTTTCACATTTTATATCAACTTAATAGTGTTTCAAATGGATATGTTGCACATGAATTGCGTGTGCGTGTTAACAGCCTGTTTTAAGGAAATCAACGATAATCTGACAAATTTGCGGAAGCATGTAGTGAATGACGAACTATATAATTTAAGGGAAACTTATCACGAGCAGAGAAAACCATTTCTACTAATGAAACTGAAAGCTTTGAAAAAACAGCATTTAATGATCAGCGACACTGTGAAAATGTTGAATACTATTTTCAGTCTACAACTTCTTGCTACTATAGTTATGACTTTTGCTGAGCTTACATTCTATATATATTTTTGTATTCTTCATTGGAAATCTGACATGCATTCAGAACACAGATATTTTTATCCGATATTGATAATCTATTTGACGTATCAATGCATTAAAATATCGTTGATCGGATGGGCTTGCGATACAGGCAAGGATGAGGCTATATACGAGGGTCGGTACCACCGTTCATGAAATACTGAACGTCACTATCAATAAACAAATCGAAGATGAAGTAAATAAAACAATAAAATTTGATTTGTACATTTCTTTTTAAGATATCTTGTGTGTCAAAATTTATATTTTGATTGTGAGTCTCGTATTCAGAACACATTTACAACAATGTTAGTACGTTGACATGCTATAGATTACATTACGCATACTACAATATTTCAGAACGCGTTATTATCGATAAAAACACGGTATTTTGAGTACGGGTCTAAATCTGGGCAATTAATTATTTATTAATTTTGTACTTAATAATCTTTTAATTTAATGTTTTATAGCTGCAGTTGTTTTCCTTGCAAGTATTGTATCAAGAAAATGCATTTTCCGCTAAGGGTCTTATAATAGATGCAACACTTCTCGTTGCGGTAAGTGAATAATTACTTATTTTTAGTAATGTGTGCCTATATATTTCTTATTTATACCTATATAATTTTTTAATTTTAGATAGTGAGTAATATCACTACATATTCATTAATTTTAATACAATTTATAATTACCGAGCAAGTTTGCAAAAAAAAGATTACAAACAATATTACATAAACAAATCCAATTAAAAGAAGGTAATAAAATCAAATAAAAATATATATATATTTAAATATTAAAACGTTTTCTTTTGTGTATGTTTTAGCATTAGGTACATGCGAATGTATATGTGTGTGTAGAGACAAAACCTTATATATTAACATTCAATTGCAAAAATAAATCTTTGATATGTTAGGTTACTTTACTTGCTTATGTACATACTATGTGTTAAATATAATAAATATATTTGTAAGAAATATCGTCTTACTGTAACTTAATGTAACTTCAAGTTAAAATCATCATTTTTTTAATTAATCCTATCTAATATTTAAATTTAGTCGGATTTGTCGGATATTTTAATTTTTTTCACAACAGTAATAACGAAAGAGGAAATATATTTTGGAATGAACTTTATAATTAAAATTAATATTTATAAACAGCTCGTTAAATATTTTTTGCACTTTGATCCAATTCATTTATTAACAATGATTAAAAAACATTTCGGTAAAGTGTAATGAGATTGATGAATTATCATGATAACATACATATTTTGTCATCGCACTTTTTATTATTGCTAAAATAAAAAAATTAGCATTTTAACTGTCTATAGATTGCGATCTACTAAAATTTTCACTAAGGAAAATATGTCGATCATTTTTAATCTAATAAAAACGAGGAAAATTTAATTTAGCTAAAAAGGAGTCAGCGCGGTAAGAAATGCGCAAAATAGAAAAAATTATTTAATAAGATATGTAGTTAATATCTTATAATAATAAATATAGTTGATATCTTATGATAATATCTTTTTTTTTTTGCGGTAAGAAGTTCTTCCCGCACTGACTCCTTTTTAGCCAAATTAAATTTTCTTCGTTTTTATATATAAGGAGTTCATTATTAATTATTGTATTAATTCTTAATCTAGATAAATAGTTAGATCAATCATAATCCATAGCGATGTATTTTGATCTTGAATAACTTTACCTCAACAACTATGTAATGTTACAATTTTTTAGATATTTAGTGTTAAAGTGCAATTTCCGAATTTAAATAAAGTCTTTTCCTTAAAAAAAAAAAACTTCTAGGGAATTACTTTCTATCCGACTTCTTACATCAAACGAGATCTACCCTACATTCCTTCTACCTAGAGACTTTCCCATGCATAGCGAGGTCCATTCTACGTCCCTTACGCTTAGGGGAGTATGATTTTTCACGCAAAGAGAGATCCACTCTACTTGCCCCTCTGCCTAGGGATATTCGATTTTCTAGACAGGAGATATGATATAAACCTCATTTTGCATGAAAAATCTGATGTTCCTAGACAGGACATACAATAAAAACTGAATGCGGACAAAGTAACGTATTAGCATAATTTAATTCTCGACCGTTTTCACTAAACTTTGATATTAATTCATAAAAAGTCGAATAGTTAATTTTCGAAGTAATCTTTCCATAGAAAACGAAGACGCTTTTTTTTTACATTTGCACCATCTTTGGGGGAGCTGTCGAATCCTCCCACAGTTATCCATAGTGCAATGCGAAACGGCGCGAAAACTTTGAATACTTGCTGCTTGATATATTAATAAAATATTTGTTTCTTTTTTCTAAAAATAGGACAAATTCCAAAAGAATTAAACATAACTTATTAGCATTTTATCATAAAGATGTACATTATCTTATATGTATAGATATGTATACGAGTACATACATAAATATACGCCATAAATATATATATATATATACAAGGTGAATCATCTATCATTTGATCTGTTTACATTTCTGCCTTTCTCCTATAATAAATTCGTCAGTTACTCTCTCTCATCAGAAGTTATCGAGTAAATTACTCCTATCACAATGAACTAGTCCTTTCACAAGAACAATGTTTAGTTGTGACACGAACAGATCGTACGTACAGATGCAACGCTTCCAATTGTTGCAAGAGAGTCCAATATTTTAAACAATTTCATTAAGAAAGTAACAACGTGAATAAGTAAGCGTACATGAATAAATAAATATATAAATGAAAATTAGATACTATCTTTTTTTGCAATTTTTACCAAAATAAAAAAAAAGATGTCTAAAAAATTTTTTTTACAATTAATTTATCAATTCTCAAGACAGGGTCTCGAAGTTTGACCAATTAAATTCGAGACACATTCAGCTTTATATTATAAATATCTCAAAAATTGCAACAGACCACCATATAGTTGTTGAGTTATTTAGGATCAAAGTACGCAGTGCTATCAATTATGATTAATCTAACTATTTATCTAGATTAAAACTGATCGACATATTCTCCTTGGCGAAATTTTTAATAGATCGTAATCTAACTACTTATCTAGATTAAAATTAATCGATATACACTCTTTGGTGATATTTTTAACAGATCGTAATCTATAGAGCGTAAGATAATCAATTTTTTATTTTAGTAATAATAAAAGAATGCAGTAACAAAAAACATAAACGTTATCACGCTAATTCGATCGCATTAAATTTCAACTCCTTTAATCATCGTTAATAAATAAATTAACTCAAAGTGCAAAAAAACAAATTCATTAAACTGTTTCAGAAAATTAATCTTACTTATAAAGTCCATATTTTAAAAATATATATTTCTTTTTATTCTCAACAAATCTGAACTAATCTAAATAGTAGATATAATTAATCCAAGATATTGCTAATAAATTTTAAGTTATTATATTAATAAGACGAGATAGAGAAAGAGAGAGATATTCCTTACAAATATATTTATTACATTTAACACATGGTACGCATAAGAAAGTAAAGTACTTGACATATCAAAGATTTATTTTTGCAATTGAATGTTAATATAAAGTTAAATATTGACATAAGGTTTTATCTCTACACATACACATATACATCCGCACGCATGTACCTAACGCTAAAACATACACAAAGAAAACGTTTTAATGTTTAAATATATTTTATTTATTTGATTTGGTTATATATATATCTTCTTTTTGATTAAATTGCTCATGTGATATTGTTCGCAATCTTTTTATTGCAAACTTGCTCAGTGATTAAAAATTGTATTAAAATTAATAAATATGTAGTGATGTTACTCACTATCTAAAATTAAAATTACATAAATTAAAATTATATAAATAAGAAATACACATTAACTAAAATAAACAATCATTCACTCACCGCAACGAGAAGCGTTGCGTCTAGTATAAGACCCTTAGCGGAAAATGTATTTTCCCGATGCAGTACTTGCAAGGAAAACAGCTGCAACTACAAAACATCAGATTAAAAGACAATTATGTACAAAATTAACAAATAATTACTAACTGTGTTGATTTAAAGTATAAAGTTTGACATAATATCATCAGAATAATGTATAAATCAAATTTTGTCGTTTCATTTACTTCGTCTTCAATTTGTTCATCGATAGTGTCGTTCAGTATTTCATGAATGGTGGTACCGACCCTCATAGCCTCATCCTTGCCTGTATCACAAGCCCATCCTATTAACGATATTTTGATGCATTGATATGTTAAAGATATTGCCAAAAACGCATTATAAAGCGTGTAGTCTTCATTCATGTCAGATTTCCAATGAATTATATAAAAATACAGATAGAAGGTAAGCTCAGCAAAAGTCATAACTATAGTAGCGAGTAGCTGTAGACTGAAAATCGTATTCAACATGTGCACTACGTCACTGACCATCAAATGCTGTGTTTTCAAAGCTTTCAGTTTCATTAGTAGAAATGGTTTTCTCTGTTCGTGATAAGTTCTCCCCAAAAGATACTGTTCATTGTTCACCACAAGCTCCCGCAAATTTGTCAGATTATCATTGATTTCTTTAAAACAGGCTTTTAATACGCATACACAATTCATATACAACATATCCACGTGAAATACTATCAAGACGACATACATTACGAGAATCTTGTCTACGTTATCAAAATCTTCTATAGAATAATAAAATATTATTCGTCCGATTAGAAGAAAGGAACCGAAAATATCTTTAGCGTGAATCAGTCTAGACAGCTTTCGATACGAATCAGGAGACAGTCTCAAAGAGATTTCCATTATACTTTGGAGCAAGTGCATTCGTGGACCGTTCATAATGTAGGTAACAATCATGATAAACCCGCCGAGAAAGAAAAAACAGTTACGTTCAAGAGTCAAAGGTATAGTATTATACACGATCGTTCCAGTAATGTCGATCATATACAGCATTATTAGTTCATAAATACAAAAAACGCAAATAATAACAGTTGTCAGAATATAGTGCCATTTTATAATTTCAAAAGTAGAAGCGTTGATGCGATACGGAAATATTCCAAGTATGCGGCAAAAGGTGAAGCAAGGATACATAAGCGATTGAAAGTCCGTAGCATGGAACAGCTGCCAGTTTTTCCACATTTTACACTTAACGCATCTTTGAAATTTCAATGACATATTTATCATTATTTGTAGAATAGAAGTTCCCAACTATTTGTATCATATAACTTAAATTACACACACTGTACAAAAATGATTACTTTTTATACAATACATTAGCATTAGCATAAGCTTAACTATCAGAATTTCTTTGTATATAACTTTTAATATTATTTGATAAGATTTTTTATCGATCTACACTTGAGCAGCTTCCATTTAAAACTGCAAGCACTTGCAGCATCGAAACAATACATAAGCGATCATTTGTTAGTCATAAAGTAACCATGGTGCTCTTCGATCGGTAATCATCACCTTTGATGTGCAGAGTAGGGGAGACCAGAGACAAATGTAATACGGGAAATTTATGATAAAGGTAACAAATGTTATAAAAATGTTACTGTTCGTCCAATAATTTTTTCTATTTTTAAACATTAATCACACTCTTCTCTCACCTCAGTTACTTACAATACGTATAAGCAAGCAAAATTGTAATTTATTATTGAAATATTACATTTAAAGTAACTTTTTATATTAGTTTCAATTGTATATCTTTTCGTTCTAATTGCGTGAAACTCCCTATTTTTGTTTGCACTGTATTAAATAGAAATTAAACTCAGTAATAGGTATAAAGTTTGTTACGATTATGTATTAGACGAGCATGTAATAATATGTTAATGAGAGATACTGCTAATGGCGACAAAAGTAATGAGACGTTATTATTTAACAATATCAGTAAGAGATCAATTTAGAATAAACTGACAATATATTATAAATTAAAGACTAGTTTATTCTAAGGATAAACTAGATTTTAATTTATAATCTATTGTCACTTTGCTCTAATTTTACCTTTTTAATGGTATTATTTGGTATTGAAACCGAGCTAGATTTAAAATTATTATATTACTTTGTTCCCATTTGGTTTTTTTCCTATGCTCTACTTAGGAACGTCAGACTTACAATTGAAAATAAGGTTTTCATCATATGCTCCTACCTAGAAAGTCGGATACCCCTAGGCAGAGCGGCTGGTGGTGTGGACTCCGATTATAGCGTAGAAAATTGGAATCGAATACCTATATAGATAGTAGAGAGGTGAGATTGACCTCACTTTGTGTAAAAAGTTAGATGAAAAGTAGTTTCCTAGGACTTTTTTTCCTCTAAAGAAAAGATTTAATACTAAAATTGCACTTTAACTCTAAACATCTCTCCAATGTAAAATTTACAATTTTCCATGCGAAAGTAAAAAATGAGTTGAATTAGATTAGTGTATATATATATATATATATATATATTGTGGATATATTAATACATATTGTAAATACCGTTTGAATTCAAATTGTAATGACCTCAGCACACACTTTTGCATGACGCATAAGAGAATCAACAAATTATAATCCTTCTTTTCCTCCTACTTCACGGAAGAGAAACATTTTGATTGGTTGATTCTCTTACGCACTATGCATTATGCGTTACGCAAGAGTCTGTGCTGCAGCCTTAAATCTATTGACGTTGAAAATAACACAATTGGGATCAAAATCTATGTATCATAATAAATTTTTATTTGTTATAAAATAATTCAGCATCAAGATCCTTGCTTAGCTCGTATAATTAATTTTGTAATTTTAAAAAATTACAATACTAACTTTTAATTTTTATCTCTGATTACGATTGCATGTTGAAAATATCTACTTTTCTGACCGATGTTTTAATGAACTCGGTACTCAGTCATCATCTTCTTCATTCTTGTCCTGTCTCAAGTTTGAAGATGAACCTCAACCACGACTCTATCAAAAGTGCTTTTAACCCTTATCAAACGCATCTGACTCTGACATGTAATTCGAATTTGCCGCCTACCTGCGGTGTCAGCGGTCCTCTTAAAAGTTATATTGTAGCTAGTGCAGCTTTATCAGATTCATGCGAATCTTCTCACTTGAGGAAATATGCAAAATCCGCAAACGACATAATAAAACACTGGTATTATTAAATATGCAAAACTTTACAAAAATTATCTATACAGCACAGATTATTTAGTAACATTGCAACGTTCCAACAATTTTGCAGAGAAACATTATTGCAAATGTTGCAGCAGGGTTGCTTCTGTGCTACATGGATTAATGCAATTTTATCAAAGAGCACATTAGATAACAAAACAAAAATATAATCAACAAAATATAAGCACTGAAACGTATCGCCATTCACAGGATGCAGTATGAAAACATCTGTGAAATAATTTCAAAAAACGTCCTCTGAAAATGATTTTTAACAAATTTTACATGGAAACGTAGCTCATCCTGAAAAGCAACTTTTCGGCGACTTTTCCGGTAGACAATGTTCACGATGCGCCATTCTTAGGTTTTACATTAGGGCGACATGCACGATGACTTGAATTAACGAGAGGCTTTTCGTATCTCGGCGTTATTACAGCTCTAAGTAATGCGCTGTGCTTAAACCCGTATTTACGACAGTCGTGCAAAACTTTTTGTCCTCGGACCGAAATATTTCTCTTAGCCAATCGATAGCGCAGCATCAGAAATTTTTAATTTATGTAGTCTTCCAACTACACAACATAGAGGCGCAAGCAATCACATGTGATTTTATTTGGTCTATAAAACTGCGCGACAACCATAAGAAAGAACATGAGAATTTTTTATCGTGTTTTAAAATTTATCAAAAATGTCCATCGTGACTACAGCTTTGCAAACGAATGAATAACAACTTGTTTTTAAAAACATTTTACATATTATATATTTTACTTATAATTTCGTTGACATCTAGAATTGCTGAACACTTCATTTCGCTTAAAAATCTAATTTAAAAAAATATAAATTATACTTTAATTTTTTTCCATAAAAATTAGCACATTTGATACATCATACAAAATATATCTTTTTCTCTTTTCACAGCTACAAAAGATTATAGGTTATATAAATTGTATAATAAAAAGAATTAATCCAATATAACGTCTTAAGAATAAATTTAAATAAATAACTTTCACAAATAATAATTAAAAATAAATAATTCTTTAAACATGATTAAATTTTCCTTCAAAATGAAGCACCGGTATATTTTCATTTTTATTTATCAACAGTATTTTTTACGCTCAACTTAGGACCTGTTCTCCTTGTAACAAGAAGAAGGGCGAGTCATACGTCAAAGGTAATGGTGCGTTAATGAATGATTTGTCTCCACCCAGCTATTTTTCTACGCGTTTATATTTTTTCGTCTACTACATTCTCTTTCCGTCTCTTTTTTCATGTAATATTTGAATATTTTATATTTACATCTTAAAAATGTATCACAATATTAATTATACTCTGACTTTGCCATGATTTTAGTAAGAATGTTTCATTCATTTGTAATATGTGTAATTATATTTCTACGAAATTAATGTATTAAATACCATAAATAAATATTGTTTTTATCATATTTTATATATTGTAAAAAATTTTTTTTGTTTAAAAAGTATATTCTTTCTTTTGCCTTGTACTCTGAAATATCTAGACCTGGTTCTGCATCAAAATAATTACGTAGAACACACTCAACCTAGTTGTTCAAAATGTCAAAACTTTGCAATGTTCATCAAACTTGAGTATTCTACATAATTATTTTAATAGATTCACAAACTTATTTTCAGATCAGTATCTAGTTATTTTTAGATCAAAACAAGCAAAATCATTTCTTTCCATGTATATACGCGTCGTATCCGTATCAATTTTGTATATAAGTATTATATCATAGTATAGCTACATCAAATATTATTATAATCTAAAATTAATAATACAAAAATACATTAAGAAATTAGATTTATAGAGATTAAATTTATATTGTAATTAGATAATCTTTTGTTTTATAATCATGTTTATAAATTCTATTATTGCGCTTGTAAATTCTATTTTTGATTTAGCTATTCTAATAGTAGTATACTAATATAATATCAGACTTTTTATCATACAGTATCTATTGCTCAAAAATTTCAATAAATGACAAAATTTAAAAAAATAGACAAAAGAAAAATGGTTTTTACAATGAATATTAAATATTTATTAAATAAAATAAATATTTTTTGTATATTTAAAAAAAAGAAACTATAATTTTAAAATTCTCAAAATTTGCATCACAATAAATTGACACTGGCAATTAATCAAAGTGTTTATTTGACCACTAGCAGACTATCACTGATGACTTCTTTCACTCTACTTTACACAATTAATCAATAATTGTAGAACAAAGTACATCACTTGCTCATAGTTTTTAACCTTGACAATGAAATATTTATTCACAAGGTTTTGAATTTCCTTATTTTTTTGTTTCTTCTAAAAACTAAATAAAAATATATATCAACATTTCTTTATTCGAATATAAAAAGAATCAACAGATATAAATATAAACATTTGGCAAGCAATTAGTTTACCTTTTTTTTTTTATATAAAAACAATATTTATTGAATTTTGAACTCTACATCGAGAAAAAAAATATATTAAATTTTAATAAATATTTCTTTGAATATAAATCTTATTTTTACTCATAGTAAATAAATATTTAGATAAGTGGAAAAAATAATAGTTGAATGAAACTAAAACATTTTGTATCTAATAAACATGTGTTTATGTAGCGGAGACTATTCAAAGAAATATTTATTAAAATTTAGTGAATTTTTTCTCAGTGTATCTTAAATGTCTTAAACTGTTTGTTATCTGCTGTTTATCGACTTTTATCGCCATGTCACAATAAAACGGCATTTTAACGCCGATTTATGTTGAAAATTCAAATTGTAACGACATCTGATTATCTCTACTCTCATTATAGAGATAATTATACGAATATATAGCTCGAAATCTACTCCTATGAATACCATCTTTGTATTCTCGACGAATATAAAAATAGGGTCCGCGCACACGAAGCCTGAATTATTTCTTCCGCAAAGCTGAGTGAGAAGCACCCGACCAATGGACATCCCGTTCACTTATTTACCGTGGCCCCAAGCAAACTGATCGTGGAACATGTATTGAATTTTTCATACGGACCGCCTCGTCTTTTTTCCGTCGCGCGCTCGAGTTCTTTTTAAAAATTCCTACGCGAGACCGGTAACCTCGATTCTTCCCTGAAAGATTGAACGGCCGTTTCGCATCTACGAACGAAAGTGTTCTGTGTCCAAAATGCGCATCGTGACAGTCGTATTGCTATCAATTTCGCTATTCTGTACTTTCCAACACAGTCACGGATACAACATTCTAGGTATTTGCCCAAGTGCAAGTTACAGCCACCAACAATCTTTTCAAGCATTGATGAAAGCACTGGCGTTTCGTGGTCATAAGGTTACCGTTTTATCAACAATTCCCTTAAAGGTAAGTAAATTTTTTCCTCATTTCTTTACTTTAATCCTTTATCTTTATACAACTGACACACATTATTTATATATTTTGTGGATATAATATAAAAAAGTGAAAAATTTTATATAAACAACTAGAAACTTTTACAACAAATTTTATTTTAATAAATTACCTTATTTTTAATGTTTAATTTGCTCACTCTTTTTACCCACCCGTTACGATTCAACGCTTTTGCCTATAATATATATCATTACTTGCAAGAATTATCATCGACAAAGCCGCTTTGTACTCATTAAAGATTCAAGGCGATACATTGTTCACTGTCATTTTCGTTCAGTCTTGACAAACTTGCGATTTTATTCGCATCCAAATATTTTTTTGGATTATTAACAAAATCTTTTTCAATATTAGATAAAATAGAAACTATTGTAATCGAATCTTGCATGTACGTTTTATTTAATTTTTCGCTTTCAGATAGAAATTGTTACACAATGCAAATTTTAATTTATAGAAACACACTCGAAAAAAATCTTAATTTCAAAAAATATCTCTTTGTTTGTATTTAAAAACAATTATTTCTTTGGATCCATGAAAATTTTTTTTAATACGAGCAAAGAAATATTCCTTTAAAATTAAGATTTGTGTGTGTGTGTTGTGTGTGTGTGTGTGTGTGTGTGTGTGTGTGTGTATGTGTGTGTGTGTGTGTGTGTGTGTGTGTGTGTATGAGAGAGAGAGAGAATTGACAGTTTAAAAAATACATAGATATTAAACTCAATGACTTTTTCAAGCTATTCTTTTTTTTTGCATTTCACTTACTCCATTTCTACTCGATTTTTCTCTGACGTCTTTCTTTCAGGTTTTCTCAGATCGTTTGCCTGACATCTCACTCCTTTCCATCTACTGCCTCATATAATCCTTCCCTTTTCTCCTTTCTTTCTATGTTCTCTCTCTCTCTCTCTCTCTCTCT